ACACCACGGCAGGCCACTTAGGTGTCAGGAGCACATGGGAGAAAATTCGTCGCCGATATTTCTGGCCGAAGATGTTCTCGTACGTAAGCAAGTACGTTCTCTCCTGCCCTGACTGCCAGACACGAAAGCAACCACCGGGGGGACCGGCCAGTTTCCTCTAACCGATCCCACCTGCAGGTCGACCTTTTCAACAGGTGGGCATGGACTTTATTGGGCCTTTCACTTAATCCAAAGCAGGGAACCGCTACATCGTCGTGATTACCGACTACCATACGAAATGGGTCGAGGCTGTCGCGTGTCCAGCGGCCACTGCCGCAGAAGCAGCAAGAGCTTTCGTCGAACAAATCGTCCTACGTCATGGTTACCCGGACGGAGAAAGTAATAAGCGATCATGGACAGCACTTTGTCGCCAACTTGACCGAAGAAATATTCCGGCTCGTGGGTAGCGAGCATGCCACCACAACAGCATACCACTCACAGGCCAACGGCTTGTGCGAGCGTTTTAACCGCACGTTGGCTGACATGCTCAGCATGTACGTTTCCTCACACCACCGCGACTGGGATGAATTTCTACCGTACATTCTTTTTGCATACAATTCTTCCACCCACAAGACGACTGGATTCACTCCCTTCTTTCTTCTTCACGGACATGAACCGACACTACCAGTGGATGTAGGGTCGGGCGCGCAATGCGGATTCGACTACACGCTGGATGCAATGAAAGTGGCTCGCAGGCTGCGGCAGGCTCGAAAACTAGTAAATGAATGGGAGAAGCGTCAGCAGGAGAAGAACAAACGCAGCTATGATGCTAGGGGACGAAGTGTTGTTTATCATCAGGGCGACTTGGTGTGCTTGTGGACTCCCTCCCGGGCGAAAGGGAAGACGACGAAGCTTCTTCACAAATATCACGGACCTTTCTGTCTTGTGCGCCAGGTAGCCGAGAACAACTGGGATGTGGTAGACCAAACTAGGAAAAAACGTAACGTTGTGAATGTGGCGTATTTAAAGCCCTGCCACGTTCGATTGGGCTCCGATGTCGACGACGCGGACAATGAGTCTGACGATAATCATGAGGTGCGCGATCTAGGTGGTGATGTGCGCGAGTGCAGTGCAAGGAGAGATGACCGCGGATTGCATCGAAGTGTTGTGCACGGGAACAGTGCAACGAGTGATGAACAGGGATTCTATCAAAGTGTTGTGTGGGAGTGTGGCTTTAATGGTGATGTGTGCGAGTGCGGTTCGTGAGTGGGTCAAGAACTCCACGGGACACAGACCAGTGTTCCAGTAAAGCAGTGCGAAGACTACGACACGGTCACTGAACTTTACTCCGACTGCAAGACATTTTCAAGTGGTAACAACGCACAACAGAATGTCAGCGCTTACGACACGGACACTGAGTTGTATTACAGTGCCGACGAGTGAACCTATATATTTCTGTTCCCAATGATACTGTTTTGTTTTTTTTCATATTTTTTTATGTAATTTTTTAAGGCTTTTACAAGTGTGTGAGATGCTTAAATAAGCATCTCACACACTTGTTGAATGCAAAACCTTTTTGTATATTTAGTCTATTTCTTGTCGTGTTTTGCAGATAAAACGAGTGGGACATCGTAGGGGGGAGGTGTCGCGAGAGCAATGTCTCGCGGAAAACTTTGTTCTTTTTTAGCTACAGCTGGAGTTTGTTCTTTGCCAGATGCCCTTGTTAGCGGCGCCGTTTAACTTGTCTCGGGGAGCGTGCCTTGAGGAAGAATGAGTCTGAACAGAAAAGGCCGCGTCTAGTCGGTCACTGTGTGCTTCCCGCCAAAGCAGGCACCGCGCCGTGCTTTGGACCAGACTGCAGAAATTAGGTGCCTTTCTCCTTCTTCTAACCACTGTGCCCCCCACATTTCAAACGAGCGAGCCACATTTTCGGTCCTCCGGGGCAAAAGGGGGCCGAAATTTGAGCGCTTGTTAGCTCGTCAAGGCCGTTTCAGAGAATGCAACCATTTCCAGAAGCTGCCACAGTTTTGTCGCGGGGCAGGATTCGTTTCCTTCGCACCCCGTGCGCAAACGACTGCAGGCACACAGCGGGTGTACTTCGCGGGACAACCAGAGGCCGAAAATTGAGACCATGTGTGCGCGTCGCCTCTGCTTGCCGGAAAGTGGTGTGTACAGAAGGTGAACTGATATGTGAACTGATATTGTCGCACGTCAGGCTTCAGGCAACCACGAAAACTCATCTTGATTTGATTATCCTCGGCTTGCATGATTGGTCCGCGCCACAGGGGACGCTAAAAAACTCTATTTAAGTAGCGACTCTGGCTCTTTTTGGGGAGAGCGGAGGCGGGGTCAACAGCGCATCTTACCACCAGAGACCAGCCATGCAAGCCGAGGGGTATGCCACCATTTTGTATGTTTTGTCTTTGTGACCTAGTGCATTTTGTAAATTGAAGTTGCGTTAGCTAAATAAACCCCCAATGAGTGCTCCCTGAAATCATCGTGTTGACTTCTCATCGATTGCTTCCGCAGAGTTTCACCCACACTTATTCGTCTCCCTGGTCTTCCGATGCGCCTAACTTAGAACAACCCCGACGTTTTTCTACAATATGGTAGTTTTGGAACCTTATTCCCCACATGTCAATCATCTGTGACTCTTTGGAGCAAGAAAAATGAAATGTTAAACAGAAATCAATGTGCTTACTATTTCTGTGATACAGCCGTGTTTTTTTACGTTTGTTATATTTAGGTGATTATAGTTAGTTAGACGAGCTTGATGTCATCAGGCCAGATTTTCTCGTTTTTGGATGTCTCTGGCACTTCGCCGCCGTGCTGGGACATTGCAGGAACACTTTTGACCAAGGTACTTAAGACACAACAGCGCTTGTTAAAGCGGAGGCCTTAGATAGCTATAGAGGCCTCATTAAATGCAAAATATGATTGTCGACGTCGTGCGTCGGGGGCGTTTCATCTCATCAGTGGCCGTCGTCAGCGCCTTGCGTCGACCGCCACTGTTTCGACGTTTATCAGGGCTCCTGACCATCTCGGAGCTCCATGGCATTGCCGTCACTTCCAGGGAACCTGCTGGTCATTGATCTGTAGGGCCCTCGTTTGGGTGGTGCGCAAACCGGAGAGTGTGCGCCTGCAAGTGAAGAAAATAACGACGGCACTTGGCTGTAGCATGGGAAGCCACGACTCCTGTTCCTTCCTGGCATCCATTATGGTTCAGCTATTTCTTTTCTTGGCTTTTTTGGCATGTCTACAGATAGAGTATGGGCTTCCTGTACAGTATGGACAGCGACCTGGCAGATGCGGAGCAACTCGGAGAAATTAGCTGAACTGCTCCTGTGACTGCGATGCAGGATGGAAGGCGCCGTGAAGGTGCAATTTGCGCGCCCTGTGTCTCCTGGCTGCATCACACTCTGCAGCTGCACGTATGCCACGTGAAACCGTGGCCCAGCCTGTGCAGGCAGTTCAGTCACTTTAGCCGCGTCCCTGAGATTTCCCAGCATGCTGAGCGATGCTTCTGTTGTGGCCACCGACACCCATAGGCCGAGAGCTGCACAGTGGCGTAACTAGATAGGGCGGCCCCCATGGCAAATATATTTCCGTGCGCTTCGTGATGATAATTCATATAGTAATATCAGTAGTAATAATAATATTACTATTGTTTTATTGCGATAGCAATTATATGGACACTCTTTACCGGATTTAGCCACCGGCATCGGCGTCACTCACCGTATATGTATACGTATCTGTATATGTAAATGCAGAAATAAAATTAATAGAGAGAAAGACTACGGCGCACAGAATCGAACCTGGGACCTCTGCGTCATAAATGCAAGGCGTTAATCACTGAGCCATTCAACGTTCAAGTGGCAAGCTATTTATATTTATCCATCACTTACCGCTGTTCACGGGCATCCGAGGAGGGGGTGGAACTATCGTGTTTGCAGCATTACCAGCAAGATGGCGCAATGAGCCGCAGTGACCAGCAGTGGCAGTTTGCTTTGATACTACAAGATGTAAATAATGATTCATAAGTGACTGTATTCTCTGGTATCGTTTTGCTCTCATTGAAGCTGTGTAGAGGTATTAATGGAAGGTCTGTAAACTGCGGCAGTAATATAAACAGTTTCTTTGATATTGCACATTGCTCGACAAGTGGACTTCTTTTTGTAGTGGTAGTTTGCTTTGATACTGCAAGATGTAAGTCATGCTTCGTAAGTGAGAAGTCTCTTTACACTGCAGACAGACGCAATTGCAAGAATTACACATGTTTAATATATCTCTGCAGTTGCTATATTGTTATTGTTATTTTTTTTGGAATTTGGGCTTTGTTTTATTCCTTGTTATTTTGCACTGTTGACTATTTGACACTGCTGTCATGTTAAAAGGTGGCTGTGGGCGCTTTGTAATCTTCCTTTTTCGGAGAGCAGCTTTTAGCTGCAGATATCCGTTATCAAACGTATTGATGAGAAATAATCATTATTCCTAGTATCGATATTATTTCTTATGGTGATTTGTGGCACTAGAAACGTTGCTGCAATTGTGGGCTTTTTAAATGTATTTTTTCTTTGCTTCACATAAACTCAATTGACTCGAATTTTTTATTATGCTTCTTTTGTTTCAATAGAAAGTGGTTATTTGGTGTGCGGTGTAATATGAATGCTTCTCAGAATTACAGAAAGTAATTTTATGGGCTGGTTTTTATTTGTTCACAATCGGACACTTTCGAATTTTCCAATATAGCCTTGGAATGATAGCTAGATCATATCGTAGTTTTTCTCACCTTATGTTCGCTGTGGATGTGTTGACCATGGAATTTATCCCCAGCAAGATGGCAATTTTCATAGCACTTGCTGTGTCGATGCCCCTGTTGCCATAACAGTAGCTTTGGTTTGTGTGAGACAAGATGAGCAGCTTTTTTTACACGTGCAGCAACCTTTACATATTGTGTGCTGCTGTGGTCCAGTTATGACACATAACCTACTTTACTTTGCGTGCTCTCGATTGCTTTGCAGGCTCCTTGTCCTGTGCATCCTCGGATCAGTCTTATTCACTGTCGTCTGTACGAGGCCGACTTCATTCCTGCCAGCAGTGCACCTATGTGACCCTGGACAAGTCAACTATGATTAGACACCTTCAGAAACACATGGGCGAGCCTCCCTTCCAGTGCCACTTTTGTCCAGCTGCATTCCTTCACAACTCCAAGCTGGTGGTGCACGTGCGCACTCACACGGGAGAGCGGCCTTTCTCCTGTGTACACTGCAGTGCGTCATTTGTGACGAAAAACACCCTCGTTAGACACATTCGCACACACACAGGAGAGCGGCCTTTTTCGTGTGCCCGCTGCAGTGCATCCTTTTCGCGGAAAGGCCACTTCATTGAGCACATCCGCACACACACAGGAGAGCGGCCCTTCTCCTGTGTCCACTGCAATGCATCCTTTATGAAAAAAGGACATTTTATCGCGCATATGCACACTCACACGGGAAAGCGTCCCTTCTCCTGTGCCCACTGCGATGCGTCCTTTATGCGGAAAAGTAACCTGGTGAGACATGTCCGCATGCACACCGGAGAACAGCCATTTTCCTGTGTCTACTGCAATGTGTCTTTTTCTGCAAAAGTCACTCTAATTCGGCATGTGCGCACTCACACAGGAGAGCGTCCCTACTGCTGTGTCCACTGCAATGCATCTTTTTCTGTGAAAAGCGCTCTAAATCGGCACGTGTGCACTCACACAAAGGAGAGTTCTTACTTCTGTGTACACTGCAATGCATACTTTGTGAAGAAAAGTTACCTTATGAGACACGTCCGTATGCACACTGGAGAAAAGCCCTTTTTCTGTGTTCACTGTAATGCATCCTTTTCTATGAAAGGCAACCTAAATAAGCATATGCGTACTCACCAAGGAGAGCATTCCTTCTCTTCTCCGCACCACAATGCCTTCTTTCTACAAAAAGGCAACGCTGTGCAACACATTCGCATGCATACTCAATAGAGGCCTTTTTCTTGTCTCTATTATTATGAGTACAAACCTTGTCATAACAAAGTCAAAGGGAGAGTCGTAATTACTTTGTTATAAATATTAGTGTGTTATAGCCAATATTAATTTCTACCGACAATTAGCCAGTAAGTGAGAATGTACTCACCACCGAATGTGACAGCAACCCGCCGCACAAGGAAACACGGCCATCGGAAGGCAGAATACTAGCAAAGCAATAAAGAATGCACTTTATTTTAATCAAATACAACACACCAGCTGGCAGACCACTTCGTAGAAAAATAGGGCTTAATAGACTTTTGTCTACTCTTCCTTACGTGAATAACTGCATTTTAAGCTGCAGCAGCTATTGCGAGTTCGTCCTCGCCGTCATTCTAAGCACCAAAAAATTCTGCCATATCCACGAAGTGATTGGTGATGAGTGGGCGAAGCTCCGGAGGTAAACCTGGTAAACCATGAATCCTCTGTACATTTTGCCCACTCGATTTTATTACATCGCTCCCCCTAGCGTACGTCGCCGCACTAAATTGAACGATTGCCTTCAACCAATGACACGCGCCATATGTGACATCATTCCTATTTTATAAGATCTCGTGTCTTTCATCAACTACAAGTACCGCTTTCTAGTTTATAACATCTTGCATCTTTTCATCATCAGCTACAAGTACCACCATCTAGTAAACACTACAAGAACTAAACGAGAAGTGGCTACATACAGGAGACGGTACCGCCATCTAGTGAACACTGCAAGAACTAAACTAGAGGTGGCTACATACAGGGGACGGTACCGCCATCTAGTGAACACTGCAAGAACTAAACTAGAGGTGGCTACATACAGGCTACAGGGGACGCACAGCCCACGCCCTAAGGAGCTTCGCCCATAAAAAGCGGCGCAGCAGGTCTGTCGCATCCAGCGCTTGCGCAGGCGTCGGTACGTCGGGTTTGCCAACATTAGGCTTCGGGGTGTCGACTCTTTAGTCACTGTCGCCATGCACCCCCCAAATGGGGCATGCCGAAAGCAGTTGGCGATCGTGCTTGCCATTACGGCCATATGGGCAGCTTGAAACATCTCAATCGCTATGTACAGGTCTATCGTTGTGGCGCGCAAACTCATATTGAGAAATATTCAATCCATGACATGCTAGCCATAGCCCTACTTGAAGTTCATGATCACCCCTTTATCGTGAGGGGTTGCACAACCGCAGTAGTGTTAGGTGGCAAAAAGCACAGCGCGGTGTTTTTAAGTACAACGGTAGTGTTGTGGGCCGTGCAGTTATCCAGGATGAGGAATATCTTGCAGTTGTGCTTGACCAGCCGTTCGTTCCACTCACATAGCCATTGTGCTAAGATCTCTCTTGTTATTTAGGCCTTGCAGTTGGAGGTGTAACTCACTTAGAGTTTCCGCTATCCTTTGAAGCATCATGGTGATGCACTTTTGCCGATCACGAGCACCGGCACCTTTTCGGACTCGTCCATTTCCGAACATAGTATCATGGTCACACAGACCTTGCTCTGTTTATCGCCCTGCGGGCGGTCACCTTTGAGGGCGAAGTTTTTTTTAAACCAACATCTTATAGAACAGGGCAGTTTATCTGCAAGCAGCTGCCCAATGTTTTTCTCGATCCATGCCACTGCAGCTTCGCGGTCAACGGATTGTGATTCCTTGCTAACAGCCCTACCGACGACGTCGTGGCGGTTCTCAATGCACTGCAGCCAGTCATCACTAGCCACAAAATCATCGTGCCCTGTGATGCATGCGAAGTTTCTTGCCTTCTGCTGCAGAAGTGCCCCTGACACAGGAGTGCTGCTTGCTCTGATTTCTAAAAATCAGTTGAACACCGCCTCGTTGACAGCTTCAAAGGCGGCGGCTCGCAGCTTCATTCAGTCACCTTTGACTCCATGTGCGACAGTGTCGGGAATGGCTTCTCTCTTGCTTAAGATGGTCGACAGCGTGCTCAATGATAAGGTAAAATTTTCTGGCACTTTTTTTTTACGCCGAACTCAACGGCTTTCAACATTGCCGACTTCTGCTCGATTGTTAAATTTTTGTGCTTATGTTTACTGCTGCCATTGTTTATCTCGTGTCTAGTGGTAGAAACTGATATAAGGGGTGTTGCTCTTGCACAGCGAACGACAAGGAACAAAGCCACAATACAGAACACCTACATACTACAATTTGCCACAATCTCCGCCGTCCCCGCACAAAACTGAAGGAGAGAAGGAGGTCAGATGAGTGGGCAGGTCAATGAGTTCTACCAGAGAACGGAGGCCGGCTAATGTGCATGACGGTCGAGTTCATTAGTTCCTGAAGAAGGGAAAGGCAAGGAGACTCGCACCCACGTGCATATTGGCAGGCAGCTTCGGGGAGTGCACAGCGCTAGTTTTGAATTACCGCAGCCATGATGAGACGTAAACCGTAGCGTACTGTAAAATATCAAATCGATGTATGAATGATCAGTAAATCCTTATTGTGGACAAAGAATGGTTCATTATGTCTACTGTGAAAAAATTTTCACTTCATTAAAAAGAGGTTTTAAATACTTGGCTGTCTATGGGAACTGCCTTGTTATATTCATTAGTTTCTTATATTACACTTTGTTATAACGAGGTACTTTCTGAAAATAGCCTCATGGAACACATACGCCTATATACAGGAGAGGGTCCATTTTCTTGTGTGCACTGCAATGCATCCTTTTCAGTGAAATACGAACTGATTAAGCACATTTGCACTCACTAAAAAGAGCCTCCCTTCTGTTTTCACTGCAGTGTATTTTTTTCAGTGAAAGGCCACCTCATTGAGCAGATGCGCGCCAACAGAGGAAAGCAGCTTTTTCCCGTGTTTTCTGCAGCTGACCCTTTTCGATAGCAGGCCACCTCATTGAGCACATGCGTATTCACACAGGACAGTGGCCCTTGTGTGCCATAAAGGGACTTTCAGTTGGAAACACAGCCACGTGAGACATTGTCATGAGTAGGAGCCCCTTAGAGACATAAAGACGACAAAAAAGTTCAGAGATAATTGGAAACGGCAGGCGCACCGTACCGCGAGGCCCAGGGCATGTGAACTGAGCTGTGATCGCCGTGCAAGCAACGACAAGCTGGAATTGTCGACGTGGGCTTGCAAGGAGAAGGTTGCATCGCCAGCAAGTGACTGGCGATAGGAGCAGCAGGACATTGACTTGGCAACTTGTGACGCGGGCGTTTTGAGAGGCAAATGGAGAACTCGACTTGCTTCAGAAGCTGCTTGGGATGCAGCAGCCGTGGACTGCAAGCGCCGACGTTCTTAGCGCGAGCCCCTTTGAAGCAAGCCCTTGAAGACAGGCCCCTAGTGGCCGCCTCAGCGTGCAGACCGGGTATGCCTGCCCACTAGGCGTAACCTTGGAGGGTTCTGCCACATCAGCAACAACATCAGGTGAAGACTAGTCGGCAGCAGCAGAAATGGCAGCATCCACCTAGATCCACCTGTCGGTTGCGACAAGAGAAGCACTAAAGCTGTAGAAGAGTTTGATAATATTTAGGACAGTTCAGTTTGTAGAGGGATTTCATTGTGGGTTTAGTTTAGAGTTAATTCTATTTGTTCTCTACACTTTTATATATATTTTTTTCGAGTGCCACGAATGTTTATTAAAGAGGTTTTCTTGCTAACCAAGTCTTGTCTCAGTCCATTGCCCGCAGCCACCCGTAATTCGTTACAGACGTGTGCACAGGCACACAGATTTTTTGGGGGGTGTTTGCGGCACTGCATCTTTTTCACGAAAAGACCACCTCGCAGTCTTGTCCCTTCGTCATAGAACCAACAAGAAAATGGTGTGGAGCGCACAGGATTCCCTTCGTGGGGTAGTAAGCAATACTGCTGTTTAAGATTTGTGACGGAACTGCGCATCTGTACGATGTGAACATTCATGCTGTGATGTTTATGAGTTCTGGAAAAAGAAAGTTTCTTTCAACCTGCTTCGGCTCGGTTTGGCTTTTCGAAAGGCTGCCAAGAGGTGTAGATGTATAAATCAAGCAAAGGTTCCCACAGCTTAGCGCGGGCAGGTTTCCCCTTGTACTCGTAGTCGACCAAAATGTGCGGCTTCCTTATCGGGTTTATGCAGTCTGGCCATGCATTATAGAACAGATGTTGTGCACAATGTCTCCATCGGTGTGTGTGGCTTAGCTTCTGCACGTGGGCGCCTTAGCATAGGTCTGTGGCCGCTAGGCGATGCGATGTTTGCTTCACTGTATCTTTTTCTCTGTACGTATTTCCCTCTCTTTTGTTGATATTTCTCTCTTTCTTTTCTTCTGTTTCCTTCTCTTTATTTTTGTTTTTCATAATGTGCTGCGCTTTACTTTCCCTTCTCCTCACCATCACATCTCTCTTCCTCACAATTATTCCTTCCTACACTATACAAAGCCATGTCTGTCTGTGCTGTGTGTTGCTAGCGTGCCTCCACAGCCGAGTGGTTAAGCCAGCCTTCGGATCCTGCGTGCCTGTGTGCCCCACCGCAGTGGTCTAGTTCCTAAGGTACTTGGCTGCTGACCCTCGGGGGATCGAATCCCAGCTGCATTTTCAATAGAGGCAAAAAATGCTGTAAGTCCGTGTTCTCATACTTAAGCGCACAATTAAGAACCCCAGGTGGTCGAAATTTCCGGAGCCCTCCACTACGGTGCCTCGCATAATCATATGGTGGTTTTGGGACATTGAATCCCACATATAAATCGTCACGAATTTATCTCGGAAGCAATGTGAAGGATGGAATTGAGAGAAACAGCAGACAGGCGTGCAAGACAGGCAATTTATCACCCTAAACGAACAAGAAATTACGCATATTTCGCGTTAAATAACGCTCAAAACCACATAACAATGAGTAGCTTAATAACCAATAACTCGATGACCTTCAATTACAATACGCGTACATGGGCAAACCCAAACTGACTGTAGCTCAGTCACAATCCATTGCTTGCCCTCACCGCTAGCCCTAAGCCAATATGTCGTCTAGAAAGGAATGTTCTTAGCGTCTAGATGCGCTCACAACAGAATTGACCAAGTTTTATGTTCGGACCATGCTGCACTTTTATGCAAAAGGGCTCAAGGAATCGCGACATGAACATCGTAAAAAGAAATTACATGCAAAGATCAGCCGTTGCTCTTAATGTCTCTCTCGTTGCAGCCATGTACTTTGAGAACACCGTGGTGTTTTGTGCCAATAAAGTTTTTTTGTTGCTAGACTTGTTTTTATTTCTTACGATGTCATAAAACTTCACTATCTCGAGTCACTAGTACAGCTGCGCCATAGCTGCATCGTCTTGGGAATAATTAAATCCCTAGCTCTCAGTGGATATGTACAAATGTAAACGAAGCCGCTCGTAATGAAATTGATATAAAGCATATCTTCTGAATGTGTTACTACATGTGGTGCCGCAG